CTTCTAAGGAAGCCGTTTGCTTAATGGAGCCTGCTTTGCTGTTCTGCACGCTATACCTACCAAGTTCCCTATTTTTCCCCACTCCCTATTTTATCTTTAGCTTCGTTTTTACGACCTCTACTTTTAATTCTGTCTCCATCTCTGATACTCAATTCCACTTATTCAGGCCTCTTACCGAACCATGCTGAGAATGAGGGTATGCTTTGGTATTTGATGCTGCGTGCCTCTGCCAGCTTTTTGGCCCAGTACGATCGTTGGCCTGGCACCCATCTAGCCTACAGAAGGACTCTGGTAACCACTTCATGTCAAAAAAACTCAAGCATTTCCTCGTCATTTACCCAAGCTCGTTCACAACATGGTGAACAAGAGACCTCTGACAGGCCTTTTTTGCAAGCATTACAGACAATTATAAAGTCTCCTATCGGCGTTGAACCTGCTGATGTTTCTTCAAAAATTGAATCGAGTGATCGAGCTGGCTCTGACGATGTGGCAGACAACGGCGACCACTCAAACTTAGATTGCCGCCGACAGATAAAATCGGATCCAACCTATGAAGAGGACGTCCCTTTGTTACGGACACACCTTAACCGAGTCCTGCGTGCCTATGGGATAGACGTAAACGGTGTCAATGACGACTACGTGCGCGTAAGTTCTAAAGGCACATTATTTAATTAAATTGTGTCCATACTAAGCTCCACGTTTTGAATAGCGAAACAATTAAATCTGACTAACGCTAGGAAAAAGATGACTGCTTAAAAACTGCCTATTGCTATACTAGATGCCTAATTGGAGATACTTTTAATACTGTAAGGCTCTATAACTTCTTTAAACAAATATTTAATGTGAGCAATGAGTTAGCACGTTCCAATATCAAAAGCACGTGGTACATTCCCAAACGTTTCGCCGGCATCGTTGTCGGCATCGTCAGTGAGTATTGCCATTCTTAGAACCACACACTCGTCAAAGAGACAAGTGAAGCCGATCCTTTGACCAAACGTGTGCTAAACAGTTGTGGTATCTCCCCTTTTGCAAATTGGCTAGTATTCAGAAAAAATACAAATGAATGATCAAATAGTTCTTAAGGCTGATAAGGGAGGAGCGACGGTTGTAATGGACAGGAAACATTACACGGAGAAAATGGAAAGTATCCTTGGCGACCGGAATACTTATCAAATATTAAGGAAGGATCCAACCACGAAGATCAACGGAACACTGAAGAATATGCTCAAGGAAATAAATACTAAGGAAGGATCCAACCACGAAGATCAACGGGATACTGAAGAATATGCTCAAGGAAATGCATACAAATGGATAAATTGACAGATGGATGATTAAATATTTAATCAAAAATGATCCAAGACCACTGACAGTCTACGGATTACCGAAGATACACAAGGAAGGCAATCCTCTAAGACTAATAGTCAACAACAAGCATGGAGCA